CTTAAAGGTGCTATCTCTAAATCCCAAGTTCTGCATTGCACGGCGGATTCAGAAGAAATGAGAGTTAGAAATTTCATTCAAGTCTCTTTAAACATCCATATCATTTATTTTTTAAAACCTCCTGTCGGTTAAATTTCGGGTTACTCATGCCTTTGTCTTGCGTTTTATCGAAATTGGGCATAGCCTCGCATCTAGTCTTCCATAAACCCTGTCAAGAGGCTAGGTCGATTTTATCTTAATTACCGAATCTACTTTATTTTTTTAGTAATTCCAAACTTTCCTTTAATTTTTACGCAGGGTCTCGCAGAGTATGACCGTCGATGTGCATTGCGTCTACAAAATATCCAGAATATAATTAGCAAATGCCAACTTGAGCTGTAAGAGTTATGGTCTGCCTGCTAAGTCGGTCGGGATTATTGTGCCTCCTTTCGCTCCTCGATCCCTCCTGCCTGATCGGAGAAAACTTTGTGCAAGCTCGAAATCGAAGTACCTTTTCTTACCAGTTCACTTGTTCCTACTCCTTTAAAATGTAGCTTTCAAAGTGGAAAACTTTCAGATCAACCCATGCAGATTTCTTTGCCGCTCTAAGCGTTTGTTTCGATACCACTGACAGAATACAAGAACTTGAGATTGGCGTCAGTGTCTAATTTCCCCCACAACCATCTTGGTAGATTAGGAAACAGGACCCAGAAATTCGGGAAAATCGAGGCGGAATAGTCTTAAAATTGGAAAAGGAAGACAAGTGCTTGCGCCAACGGGATCGTCCACAGCAGGTCACATTGTCACAAGTGGTTATGTCGACAAGAAGAAGGTTCCCCAAATCAAAAGTCGGGCGACACGGAGTTGATAGAAAGAGCTTTACTGCCCTAAAAGAGCCTTACAATAGCTGCTGCCAAGTGATCTCAAGCGCTGAGTACGAAAACCGTGCTTGTGCATGCAAAAACTAACTTAATAAATATGCTTCCTTATAGAGGGTATTCGGTCATAGGGACGCCTATTTATTAATTTAGTTTTTTGCATGTATAAGCCCTACGAATTCTTATAAACTACGTATGTTCACTCGCTTAAAACAAGTACTGAAGCCCTCCGCGTGTTCCATCTAGGTGAAATAGTTGTTATTCCTACCAAAAGTAACACTTTTTTCGCTATTTATTTGTAGTTCATCCTAAAGAAAAGATAAAAGTCAATGCATGTAGCCTGCTTTCTCAATTATTTGAATTTTTGTCTTTAATTTAAACAACTTGAATGACAGTTGTATCCGAAAAAAATTCCATCGTTATGAAGAAGACCAACATATCGATCACGCTGGACAGTTAGGCCTGTGCCGCACCAGGTTAATGCACTCTGGGGGACCATGGATCATCTTCCCAAAGGCAACAGAACTTGCAGTTTACCGCGTTGTTGCATTTTTACAAAGATCATTAGTTATCATTAATTTTTAAGACTCCACATAGTTATGCCCTTCTGTCGTTCAACTATAAGCTTTTCAATCGGTAACATGGTTCTCAGTTTGTGGAAAACTCAAGAAGTGTTCAATTGCCACATGAGATGAAGAGGCCGAAAAAATAAATGATCACAGTAATGAGACTAAAAGCACAAGCAGCTACAGAAAATTGAAAGCCTCATGAAAATTGTCGATGTACCCGTAGACGAAAAAGGAATTGTCAGGAGCGAGCAAAGAATGACAGACTATCCACATGCTGATGTAGTAACAGCAGTGAAGGAAGAGGAGGAGGAGGAGGAGGAGGAGGAGGAGGCGGTAAATTGATCTTAGCATTGGTAACACAAGCAGCGGAAGAGATGTGTCCTGTTATTTAAAAAAACATCACAGTAACTTGGAACCGTTTATTCTTTTTGCATAAATGTAATCCATTCCTCCTCCTTTCCGCGAACCAGTTTCTCTGATTGATACAGACGCTGAGCAAGTGGACACCGTTTTGTTTCCGGTATAAAAATGAGTGTCAGCAGCGCGCCCAAAAGAATAACAATTGCATAAATGACTCCAGGGATGCAGTAATGGGTGGCATCCAGGGAGTTGATAAAGGGAGCGAGGCAAGATACAGTACAGCCGAATGACAGAGTCAAGAAGAGGCCCATGTTACGTATTGTTGTAGGCATTATTTCTGTCACGATTAGTATCGTCAAGCCAACCGTAGAGGAAGCTGCCACCTTCCCAAGAAAGACAATCACAATGCAAGCAACATCCGACAGCGGCCTCACCGCTGGGCCAATTACAACACACGTGGCTGTGACCCCAGAGAGAATGGCCACCGACAGTCGCCGACAAAAGAAATGAGCCACTGCCCAACCGATAAACGGCGCGGGCAGCTCACCTAGGCCCATACAAAGTACATTTAAGAAAATATTCGTGCTTGCAAAGTTTTGGCTCGTGGCTAAACCGTAGAAAGAAAGATACGTAGTCGACATGTAGATGCACAAAATGAGAGCCTTTTTGCGCATGTTTGGCAAACGAAAAATGTCTTTTATCTCATCTGTGACTGAAAAGGAGTTCGTTTCTGACTCATGTGCAGAGTTAGATTCGGTTTTATCGCCGGAATTTGCTACGTTCGTTTGATCACAAGGGAATCTGTTGTGAGTTTCGGAGCCGATAATTGATGTGACCGCTTCCTCTATAAAATATTTTGTCAGTTTCACTCGGTTCCAGCGTGCAATTCTCCTTAGAACACTGCGAAAGTGTTTGTATTCTCCATTAGCTGATAACCACCGGAGTGATTCTGGCATTATGAAGAAAACTGGGAGATAGGAGATCATGAGAGGTAAAGCATAAATTCGAAACCAGTACCAGTCCCTGGTGAGGTAGGCTAATCCTGCCGATCCTACATACCCAAGTACGTAGGGCATCCAGTAAAGAGTGCCGAAGAGGCCCCGTTTTCGTGTGGGTAATAGCTCCTGTATAATACAAGTAGCCACATAACTTAGCGGTATGGTTAGCATACGCAACAGACGCAGAATAAAAATAACTTCAAAGTAGGTACCGAATTGGATCGTACTGGTAATTATGATCTCAGCAACCACGTAGAAGAGTAGCAGCTTCCTGCGACTGATTCTATCCGTGAAGAGAGCGATAGCATGTCCTACAGCGATAAAGAAAAACATGCTACTAGCCAGCCATTTGATCAGGTGTTT